CTATCAACATTGTCCAACTCATCAACACTATCCGAAGGAGAAATGTTGTCTTCAATGTCATTGCCTAAACGTAATCGCTCAAGCATTTGTATGTCCTTCAGATTTCGCACCTCGTCTCCAGTGTCCTCGTCATCATCCCTTTCATTGTCTACTTCCATTCCTATCTCTTCGGTTAAGTCTATGTCAAACCTCCCTTGTAGCCCCTCTTCTTGATAGAACACTCCGTCATATGTGTTTGGGTTGAAGTTGTAATCTTCATCGTTTGGGACAGGTAGTTTACCGTGTGGCGATACCTTGTGCACAATAGACCAACCCTTAAGATGCTCGGCGTCTTTGCACGCGTATGACGTATAATAAACCTGGACGGCCTGTTGAGCCACAATGTAGACATCTTTTCCTAGATAGACGGAATCCTGTCGAATCTCGACTAGCCCAAGCTTAGGGGTCCATCTCGTTACTCCAGGATGAAACCAGTGGCATTTGAATATGACAGGAGTAAGAGGTTTGGAATCATAGAATGATAGTTCGTAGATTTCTTCAATTCTTAAATAATAGTCGAGTCCATCAGTGTCGGGCGTAACAACTCCGCTGTTTGTGGTTTTTTGATTGGGCCGACTCTGCTCATAGCTTGCTGTGTGAAAATGATATCCATTCACGTCATAACCGGTAAATGACTTGACCCTAATGGCACAACCATTTGCAACCTGTCTCAGCTCGTCACTTATAGGCGCATCAGTTTGGGCTTTCTGTTTGAACCAACAAATGAAATCGGGGCTCTCTGGTCCCGCACCCTGTGAAAGAAGGGTATCATTTTCTTGTGGGGTAGGTTGCCTTGATCCATGCCAGGATTGACGAAGAAATTCCCTGTACCAACGAGAAACAAGGGGGTTGGACGAAGAAACAAGGACATACGACGAAGTGAAACAAGTTCGTTTAGAACTTACCCAATGAACAGCTGCACCTCGACAAGGTTGGTTAAGACATATAGCATGATACTGCATCACTCTTCATTTTTCAATTGCTTAGTGGTCTATGCACTTGCGCTTCCTAGTTGCCCTTGGAAAAGGCTGAGGTTCGATTCATTTTTGCCAGCATTGTAATGAGGGGGTGGATTATAAACGCTAGGAAGGTTCTTAGTGTAGTATTTCTCTGTGAAGTTCGACACCTCCTCTAGAATGTATGCCTCTGCAATGGAAGCCTCAATTTTGGCTTTATTTCTACATTTTTTGCAAAGAGTCTTCAGACATCTCTCGATTGGATAGCACCAACGGTCCTGCACGGACCCCCCATCCGTGCCTCATACGGGAGGTGCACAATCAAATGCTGCATCGGCAAGAAGAAGCTGGGTGGAAAGATCTTCTCCAACATATAGAGCAACACGGGTGTCGCTTTTTCGAACTCATCAATGACGGTCCGAGAGAGCTCCTTGGCACAAAGCTGGCGGAATAAGTAGCTCAGCTCTGCCAGCACTTGCCAGACATGCTCCGGGACATAGCCTCGAACCATCGCTAGAAGAAGCCGCTCAATCCATATGTGGTAGTCATGACTCTTCATCCCGTTGACTCGTAGAGTGCCTAAGTTCACTCCCCTCTTTAGATTCATTGCATACCCATCAGGGAACATTAGCGTCTGGATCCATTCAAGTACTTCCCTCCTTTGGTCCTTTTTTAAGACAAAATTGACCTTAGGCCTTCTCTAGGTCTTGCCACGACTAGGAGGCTGCGTCTCTTGATTTGGTCTATCGCACAACGTTGCCAGGTCCACTCTAGCCTTAGGGTTGTCCTTAGACTTTTCAGTGTCCATGAGTGTTGCCCAAAGTGCCTCGGTGACATTCTTTTCAGTGTGCATTACATCAATGTTATGTGGCAGAAGAAGGTCATCGAAATAGGGGAGCCTCGTCATGCCCGAGATATGAGTCCACATATGTTGCTCACCATATCCCACAAAACCACCTTCTTCATTGGGCACGAGAGCATCTATCTGATCATGAACCTCGGCACCAGTCATCATCCGCGGTGCAGGGTTTGTCACTTTGACACCTTTCGTAAAGTTCTTGATGTCTTGTCTGAATGGATGGTCAAGAGGTAGGAATTGACGATGTCTGATGAACGACGAATACTTGCCACCCTTCTGCAACCAAATGAACCTCACACCTTCCTTGCATATTGGGCATGGGAACTTCCCATGAACACACCAGGTGCAGAATATCCCATACGCCAGGAAGTCATGCAGGGAGTAGTGGTACCAAACGTGCATTTTGAAGGTTGTCTTTGTAGCTCGATCGTATGTCCATACCCCTTCGTCCCAAGCATGGACCAATTCGTCAAACACAGGCTCCATGAACACACCCATATTACTCCCTGGGTGTCCAGGAATTATCAACGATTAGAATACGTTATGTCGTTGAAAGGAGACACTGGGGGAGATTAAGAGGGATAACGAAGACAAGACAACATGTGTATGGGGCAACCATCATTCCATAAGGATTGAACCCATTTGTTGCCAGCGCGACACGTACATTAAGAGCCTCATCTGCTTTGTCACGATGTTTGTCATTAAAGCGGATCCAAGCTTCACCATCGGATAGATGTACCATCTTATTAGGATTGTACCATTTACCATTTTTGTGCCATGTCATCTGTTTCATGGATTCCTCGGTCATGTATAGCCATTGGATCCTCGGTAGGAACGGAAGGTACCGTAGGATTTTCACGGGGATCGTAAGTTGCCTCTTCTGGTCATCATCAAAGTCTACCTCTAGGTACCTGGAGGATTTACACTTTGGACAGAACTTTGCATGCTCGTGTTCTTTCCTAAATAGGACGCACACCTTCGGACAAGCATGTATCTACTCATACGGCATCTTAAGTGCACGAAGGAGTTTCTGTGACTTGTACATGCTCTTTGGCAGAATGTGGCCCTCCGGAAGCAGGGTGCCAATCACGGCCAACATCTTATCGAAGCCTTCTCGACTCAAGTTTAACTCGGACTTCAACCCCATTAAGCGTCCAATGGCATCCAGTTGAGACACCGTTGACCGATCGTGAAGGGGTTTCTGTGCCGAGTCCATCATATTGTAGAACGCCTGTGCGGTTGCCTCCATCTCCTCCTTCTCACGTCCCTCATCAAACTGTCCTTGATGAAAGTCATCTAACATGTCTGCTACCTCGGCATCAGCATCAAAAGCCTCCACCCGTGGTCTCACCACCTCCTCTCTCATACGATGGGCTTCACCATGGTGGACCCACCGGGTGTAGTCCGGCGTAAATCCATTCTTCACAAGATGTTTATCCATTTCCACCTTGTTTACCCTTCTCCTGTTTCTACATTTGCTGCAGGGACACAAAACTAGGCAATGTCCTTTAGCAGCCTTGCCAAATGCACTATTCAAGAAAGCATCGGTCTTGTTCATCCATTCCGTGGTGTAATCACTCTGACTTCTCCAGCCCGTGTACATCCACTGACGGTCATCCATCCTCTAACATATGTATCAGCGAGTAATTTAACCATCAATTGCATCTACATGGTGTTCCTACTGTCTAATAGGTGAGGATATGTCCTAATCCCACCCGCGGATGCGTAGATGAGGTTAGTTTCCATGCTCTACTCCTATCCGAGACAGAATTTCGGCAGCACCTCCCCACTGTTCTCCAGATACACGTCCTGCCAAAGAAGAGTGCGTGTCCGGAGAACAACAGGGAGGTGATGCCGAAACTCTGTCTCGGACCGGAGCAGACCATGAAAATGTCCTGGTTTGTAAGCATCCTACGTGATAACGTGCACCAAACCTTCTCAAATTTTTATCACATCCTCCACATACGATATCATGACATCTCGACAAGTTTAATGATTTTCGGACTTCGTTTGCATTTTATAGAATTTAAAAACAAATTTGTCCGCAAGTTCATGGTCATGTTTCGTGAACAAGATGTTCGAAATTTCGGGTCCGTTCCTGGATACGGCCCTACACTACACTCAATACCATGAATATTATTTTTTGAATCATTAAATTTCATTATTCGATGCACGTACAGTTCAAATTTATATTTTTCGAAAAAATTCAAGTAAACGAAATAAAGTAACTAAATATATCAAAAAGCGACAAAAAATCCCCAAATTCTAACGAGGAGTTCCTGGTACTTAAAAAGGGCCGCACAAAAAATTTGGAGGCCAAAAACAAAACAAAAAAATCTTTGCCGAGCGCCGGGGCATGGCACTCGGCAAAGGGGGTTTTTGCCGAGTGCCAAGAATAAGGCGCTCGGCAAAGAGGGTTTCTGAAAAAAAAAATTTAGAAATTTCCTCTTTGTCCGGTGCCTTCACAGGGGTACTCGGCAAAGGAATTTTTTAAAAAAAGTAAATTTTTTAATTCCTCTCTTTGCCGAGTGCCGAATCAGTGGGCACTCGGCAAAGACATTTCAAAAAAAAATATTGAATCTTTGCCGAGCGCTGTGTCAGGGGCACTCGGCAAAGTATTTTCCAAAAAAAAAAAATCTTTGCTAAGTGCCTAACAGCAAACACTCGGCAAAGAAGGACGTGGCCGAACACCGTTACGCGGGACAGCCTATGCCGAGCTTTTGCCGAGAGCCTGGCACTCGGCAAAGAAGTCCTTTGCTGAGTGCCCTTTTTTGCCGAGTGCCCGGCACTGGGCAAAGAATTCTTTGCCGAGTGCAATTCTTTGCTGAGTGCGACACTCGGCAAAGAAGGTCTTTGCCGAGTGCCCGATTTTTGACACTTGGCAAAGCAATTTGCACTCGGCAAAGGCCCTGTTTCCAGTAGTGAATGACACAAACAAAAAGACTTCACCAACGCTGACAACGAGACAATCACTCAATATACTGTTATTACAACAACACATCTCAATCTTGTCATCTCATTATCCCTATAAATAGCTAGTATATTCTTCAGAAAACCCCTATATAGTTTTATATTTACAAAACACACCAACGGTTCAACTATAGTTTGTCCATCAAGGTGCTGAAGTACAAGGAATTAAAAGTCCTTCAGCCATTGAACTTGCTGGGCGACTTGATTGTCCTTACCAAAGAAATGTGATCTTTCAAAGAAAACAACATGATTGGACAGTCATGGAAGCAAGAAGTTTTCAATAATAATGGTTGCGGCAATTGTCTTCCTTTCTGAATCCAGTCCACCACTGAGCTCTGCAACTGGACAGGCGCATGTCTAATCCACGAGCACATGAACTCATTGTTGGCACTGGCCCATCCCAGCACCTTCTTGCCCGGCAATCGTTTATGGTGTTTTCTACCTCGGTCTTCTTGAGCGGTTGCTCTCCATGTGGTCTTCCCAAACTGAAGGTATGCCCTGCCATGCTTGGACTTCCACATAATCTGATATGAGGTAGCTGCGGCATCCCTGCGAAGGCAATCTACTGCCTTTGGTATCATAATGTCGCCTAGCTGTTCAAAGGAAATTTTTGCATGCATGCCACTTTGCATGACCACCCCGTTGATCATTTCTGTTGCTGAACCATCGACTGCAGGCGACAAATCTTCAGATGAGGCATGGGGCCAGAAATGCGCTCCAAGTTTCATATAAGGAAATTCTCTCTCGGGACTTGTTTTGCTTTCAACACTGACAACTGCCCGCTGCCTGTTGTTCCCAACAGACAGTGTGACATGGCCCAACAAATACACTTGTTTAACTGGTTCCATGTATATATCACATGGCAATGATTCTGATGATGAGCTTGTAGCATTGTAGCGCTGGGAATAGTGATGATCTTGTTGCTGGCAACAAAGCGGGTTCGGTCGAAACCATTTAGAACAGACGGTGTGAAGATTGTTCTGTCGTTCATCATAGCAGCCAAAAACAGAACAGGAATCAGACACCCAGGACAAGTCTTGTGTTGGTACCTGGGTGAGCTTTGTTTTCACAGTCTCGGTTGTTGAGCTTAAGTGAGGTGTGAACAGGTTCAGGCATCTGACTGCAACACCAACTATGTCTGTACTCTCAGAGAGCCGTAATTGGAGGGTAAGAAGGAAATTATTCTCTGGAGCATTGGCATCTTCAAGTAAGAATATTAGGTTACCCTCCATCCCATGCTCTTGTAGTGGACTAAAGGGTTGTAGAAGAAATGAGAGATGTTGACCCTTGCTAACAAAGCAATACCTAGTTCCTTTGCCAGTGAGAAGATGGCGTATCAAAGGGTCGAAAAACATGTATCTGCATGGTGTGCCACCAAGCTCTACATACCTCAAGAATTCGCTCGCACCTTCGGCAAACCGTTCAAATCGCCGGGTAGCAGTGGATCCTGTCAGCTCATCATCCTTACCGTGACTAAAGATTAAGGAAACAAACGACATGGCACTATGAGCGATCCTCTTCGGAAAGGAGGAGCTCCTTAGCACTTGCTGTACTTCTTCCTCTTCTTGCAAGCGCTGCCTACACCTGCGCAGAGTGTGGTCACACTCCTGTGAGGTGCGCTTGAGCTTGCTCTGCCAACGCAGCAGTGGCGCGCTGGTGACGTTCCACTTGTTGGAGGTCTCAAGGGCGGCCTCCAGCTTGATGTGTGCCATCTCCATCCTCTCAATGTGCTCTTTTGCATCTGACTACTTATGCTGACAACCATCCTTGATTCTTGATAAGACTTGGTTAACAGCCTCCTGGGCCACTGCAGAACTGACCATCTCTGCTGCCATTAAGATTTATCGAACAAACCTGCTGTAGAATCGGTTGTCCTGTATGCAGACAAAGAAAGAAAAATATTCCATACATTTATGAGCCAGATTGTCCCTGCTCATCAGTTTAAAATATAGGGTAAAGTCCAATTTACACACTCTAACTCTCGCCAAAGTTTGGATTTCAACCTCGAACTTCAAAACCGGATAACTTTGGCCCTCCAACTCTTGAAACTGTTCAACTTTGAACCTTCTGGGCGGTTTTGGCGTATATACAGTAACTTTGGATATTTACGGGAGACATCGAAATTTTATATTATTTTTTTAAGCATCTTAACGTCCTCAAATGAAAAACTCAAAACTACAAAGTTGTATATCTCATTGAGAGCTACATCTTTGGTATAAACAATTTTTTCATGATAAACTCAAATTAAAAAATATAAACCCTTCTGCTATGTCGGATGGAGATAATTTTATATGTAAATTGTAGACCTTATGAGATCTGAAATTTTATAGTTTTATTTTTTTTTCGAGCATCTTAGATATCAAAAAATAATATAAACTTTAAAGTTGTATAATAATCGAAGTCTACAATTTACATATAAAATTATCTTCATCACTAATATATTATTTGTATAGAGTTAAATGAAAATACTTTTTATACCAAAGTTGTAGCTCTCAATAAGATATACAACTTTGTAGTTTTGAGTTTTTTCATTTGAGGACGTTAAGATGCTTAAAAAAATAATATAAAATTTTGGCGTCTCCCGAAAATATCAAAAGTTACTGTTCATACGCTAAAACCGCCCAGAAGGTTGAAAGTTGAACGGTTTCAAGAGTTGTAGGGCCAAAGTTATCCGGTTTTGAAATTCGAGGTTGAAATCTGGACTTTGGCGAAAGTTGGAGGCTGTAAATTAGACTTTACCCTAAAATCTATGATCGATCTTGTAAAGTGCAAGTGTGGAGACGAAATCAAAACCTGGCGTTGCTGAACACTTGAACTAGCTGTAGTCTCACAGAAAGTCGTACCAGCACTATGGCACTTTTATTTTAGGGTAAGCACTATGACACTTGACAGTCTAAAACCGTGACAGCACACACAAAAGGTTGGGGAATCTAGCCTGCTGAGCCAGGCAGTTGTGAATTGTGATCATACATATAGAGAGGTAGTATATTTGTGAGAGGGACAGCGCAGAAATTTGTCAAGAGTGATAGGGACGCAGGAGGACTTTTGTGTAGAGTGGTAGATGGCAAAATTAAACACTGAGGTCGACATAGAGCGCATATACCAGCTAAGTGATGCAGAGGGCAAAGCAGCAGTGAGGTTGATGTCTGGATCACATCGCTGAGACCACCAGAGTGAGTGAAGATTACTTTAAGTAGTACAGATAGGATTGGCCCGGGTGTTGGTAGCATGTCCCATCGTGTAGAACTTACTATCTCTGCTGCCATTTGGATCGATCAAAGCAACTTGTGATTGTCATTCTTTAGATCTGTACCTTATGCTCGGGAAAGAAAAAGAAACATACTCAATATGCATATATATGTGTCTTAGATTGTCCCTGTTCATCTGTTTATATTTAGAATCTATGATCCATCTTGTAAACAGTAAGTGTAGAAGAGGTTAGAACCTGGTGAAGTTGAACTATTGGAAGAGTCACAGAAAGTCGTACTGGAAGTTGATACACAGGTACATACACACAAAGATAAAAACTTCAAACATGCATAGAAAAACATATGGAATAACTATTAGTAACCTAATTCCAGAGAGAGATTACAAGATATATATCGATTTGAATTGTCCATCACAATGAACATCCTCTAGTAGAACACATTGCCCGGATGACACATACTAGGTACCATCAAGTCTGTAAGGCGATGAACGTGCTGGAAGACCTGATTTTCCTTGCTGAAGATGTGTGCCAATCTGGCAAAAACAACGATTTGATTGGACAATCATCGACACAGGAAGTAGTTCTCAAGGACAATGGTAGCAAGAATGGCTTTTCGTTTTCAACCCAGTTCACTAATGAGGCCTGCACGTGGGCTGGCACGTGCAGAATCCAAGAGCTCATGAACTCATTGGTCTCACTTATCCATGGGTGCTTCACCTTCTTGGACCGACTTTTTTTCTGATTTTTTTGACCTCTGCCTTTCAGTTTCAGACCTGAAGGTATGGGCGGCCATGAGGTCTTCTCGGCCTGAAGGTGAAGGTATGCACCTCCATGCTTAGACTTCCACAGCATCTGATACGAGCTAGCTGCCACATTCCTGCCAAGAAAATCTTCCGCCTTTGTTAGCATGATCTCACCTAGCTGCTCAAAGGAAATGTTTGCATACAAGCCCCGTGGCGCTACCTCTCTGTTGATCACCTCTGTCGCTGAACCACCAACTGCAGGCAACATATCTTGAGAAGAGGGATGTGGCCATAAGTGCCCCCCAAGTTTAAGGAACGGAGATTCTTTCGTGGGGCATGATTCGCCATTGGCCACTGCACTCTGTCTGTTGTCCCCAGCTAACAGTGCGACGTGGCCCAGCAAATGCACTTTGATAACTGGTTCTAAGTACACATCACATGGTAATGATTCTGATGATGAGCTTTTCCTACTAGCATCATACCTCTGCTCGTAGTGACGATCTTGTTGCTGACGACAAACCGGGGTGGGTTGAGACAATTTCCGACGGATGGTGTGCAGATTGTCCCAGTATTCCTTACGGCCAAAAACAGAATAAGCCGCGTCTTGCATCCAGCAAAAGTCATGTGTTGGTAGCTGGGTGAGCTTTGTCTTCACAGTCTCGGCTGTTGAGCCCAAGTGAGGTGTAAATAGCTGCAGGCATCTGACTGCAACCCCAACTATGTTGATACTCTCAGAAAGCCGTAAACTAAGAGAAAGAAAGAAATTATTCTCTGGCGCGTTGCCATCTTCAAGTAGGAATATTAGCATACCCTCCATTCCATGCTCGGGTGGACTAAACGGATGTAGAAGGAATGAGAGATGCTGACCCCCGTGAACAGAGCAATATTTTGTTCCCTTGCCAGAGAGAAGTTGCCTTATCATAGGGTCGAAGAACATGTGTTGGTGTGGTGTGCCACCGAGCTCCACATATCTTAGGAACTCGTTCGCACCGTCTACATACCGCTCGAAACGGCGGACGGTAGATCCAGTCAGCTCATCGTCGTCACCGCGACTGAAGAAGGACAAGACGAACGACCTAGCAGTGTGAGCGACTAGCTTGGGAAAGGCGAATCTCCTTACCCAAGGTTGCCTCTCCTCATCTTCTTCCATGCGCTGCTTGCACCTGCGCAGGGTGTAGTCACACTCCTGTGCAGCGCGCTTGAGCTTGCTCCGCCAGCGCAGCAATGGCGCGCTGGTGACGTTCCACTTGTTGGAGGTCTCAAGTGCGGCCTCCAGCTTGATGTGAGCCATCTCCATCCTTTCCATGTGCTCCTTTCCATCTGACTTGTGTCCATACCTCTCCTTCATTTTTGATAAGGCTTGGCTAACCGCCTCCTGGGCCACTGCAGAACTGACCACCTGTGCAGCCATTAGTATTGATCAAAGCAACCTGTAGAATCGAGTGTCCTGCATGCTCAATCGGAAAGAAAGCAAAATACTATCAATATATATAGGAGTCAGAATGTGCATTAAGATTCATCAGTTTTGCAAGTGCAGAGGAAATCAAAACCTGGTGAGGTTGAACTAGTTGTAGGGTTGCTAGCTTCTTAATGTAACGATATGTAGTAGTCCTATTTATTTGAGAAAAAAGGTTGCAGGGTTGTGACCATTACCCACAAGAGTTTGTGAATTTATCCAGCCCAGCCAGTTGTATGACCATACAAAATACATATCAAGAAGTAAATTATTTGAGAACGACATCGTGGAAATTTGTCAAGAGTCATATGCACACAGGAAGACTTTGAAGACTTTGAGTAGAGGGCAAAGCACTGAGGTCGACATTTGTATCACATTTCAGGAGACCGCCAGAATTAATTGATATATAGATACCACATAGGAAAGCGTCATGGACCAGAATTATTCATCGCGTAGGACCAACCAGTGTCAAAGTCGACGGTGACTAAACGTAGAAATTTTGGGTGCAAAGCTCGGAGCAAAAAGCAGAACCTGAAGCCGACGGCAAGCCCGCAGCTGCATACCAGTGTCATGGGCGACAAGCAGGGCCGAGGCCACAATTTGGGCATAGGGAGGGTCTTTAAGCCGACAACAATCATATTTAACCAAATACATGCACAGAAAGACTATAAATAACAATTAAATAAATATTTGTGTTATGATATATACATAATGAAGGAAGCTAAAAAGTTTAACACAAAAAACATAAATATTACGAAGAAAAGGGGAACAAAATTAATTAATTTGCCTTAGATCTCTATCCTTCATCCAATTGATCTAATTCTTAGACCAGAAAAAGGATCATAATAATTAATAATAATAGAAACAAAGAAAATCAGAAAATATAATAAAAAGAGTAATCCTAAATAATACTTATGCCATTGAAGATTAATTCGGAGTGAGAGCAAACAAGTAAAACACTAATTACATTAACTAACTAGGTTATTGGAGGATGTACGCTAGGGACTAACTAGAACGATGGATAGGCAATACTAAAAAGAATAAAAGATTTGGGGAAAATGTTAGGACACTAATCCGACACTAAATTGTATAAATTGCTATGAGAGAATAACTAATCCATCAATTCATACTCTCGCATGGGTTAGAATCTTGTAAGATATAGTCATTATTTTTTTTGAACTGAAACTGTGGGAAGAAAAAACAGATGATTTTATTGAAAACAGAAACAAAACAAAAGGGTATTGACAAGGTAGCCAAAAAGGGAAACAATCCCACAAAGACACAAAGAAAGAAAAAGAAACATAACAGAAGAAAAATATTAGATTTCATTTAATACCGTACTATTAAAAATTATTTATACTAAATTGTGTATTTTCTCATTATTCTATTTCTAATACAATAGACATAATAAATACTTCATAGTATATTGTTTGCTAAACAGAATAGCTTTAACAATGGTGTAGCTATGTAATTTGTATGCAAATTTACATAGGTTATTTTCATAATAACATAGGTAGTTTAAATGAATATTTGGGGTTACTCAGATTTTTTTTACAATACCAGATGTGGGGATTAGATGAGTCCGTCTACTGCATAACTATGTGTTTTATGCAGTTTCAACACATGATTTTTTTTTACCGTAGGATGAAGATCCAACAGCCTCCAGCCTTCTTCTATCTCTAGCCCCCAGCCTTCTTCTACCCCCAAACACACTGCACAACTCGCCCCCGCCGCCGTCGGCCGCCCCGCCCTTGGCCGCGGCTATGTCGGCACAAATCACAAGCAACAACAAATCACAAATCACAGATCACAACAAACAATTTTTTTCTATTAATGGACAAGGACAAATCACGGCTGTGTCTGCACAAATCATAAGCAATAAATCACGGTGGCGCGGGCACGGGCAGGCGCGGGCGCAGCTGTGGCGCTGGCACGGGAGCAGCGGCGGTGCGGGCACGGCGCGGCGAGGCGAGGCTGCAGCTGCACTGGCATGGGCGGCACGGGCGCAGCGGCGGCGCTGGCCCGGGAGTAGCGGCGGCGCGGGCACGGCGCGGCGAGGCCGCAGCGGTGGCACGGGCACAGAGCGGGCGAAGGCGCGCGGGAGCTGGGGAAGATCAGACGGCCTCAAAATCGTGTGTTAGATTGCTCCAAAACACATGGGTGTGGTATAACATTTCTGTTAGATAAATATTTATGGGTTACTTTATGCTACTTCCAGGAGGTAAGTAATAAACGGATTGAGGGTTACTTAGGCCCTTTTATAATAATGACAAGTGTTGGTAATCTGTATATAGATTTTTGGTGTTACTTTGGCGAATCGAGGGGCAGGGCTGCCCGTGCTGCAGCCCTAGTCCTTGGCTATAAAACTCCATACAAACTTACTACATCAGCTATAACTGAGACGATGGAACATGGTTCATTCCTAGTGTTTTCACCCCTAATAACAGTATCCCACCGAAAGTTAGTCTACTTTATTTTTTGAGCCAAACCGGAGTGGGGGAATACTAAATATTTATTAAAAGAAGGCAAGCAATAAGTTTACAAGAGCTTCAGGAAACAAAGAAGGATTAAAGTTATTACATTTAATTTCTTATGGTCATGTGGATACAAAATTATAAAAGGGTCACAATCAATCTCAAAGGAGTCAACTTTAACTCCCACTATAATGCCCTCAGATCAACCTTTTGGAGATGTAGGGTTTACTAGGAGAAGAGCCATCAATAGCAACTTGGGAAATGCAGCAACGATCCTTCCAGTGTTCTTTATTTATCAATTTACAGTTTTCTCCTTTTAGTCACTAAAAATTAAGTAATTACATAACAAGGCTTAGACATACATAAACATCAAAGGAACACGTGAGATTGTCTAACAGGCAACATATACATTGATCTGAATTTTCCATGATGACAAACTTCGTTTAGGCATACTTAGTAACATCAAATCCTTTAGGCATTGAACATGCTGCACGATTTGATGTTCCTTGCTAAAAATCTGTTATATTGCGAAGAAATCAGCATGATTGGACAACCATCAATGCAGGGATTCTTGTTAAATAATAATGGTAGTTGCAATTGCTTTTCTTTCTGAACCCGATCCACGAATATGCCCTGCAAGTGGGCAGGCGCGTGTACATCTAAAAGTTCTAGTTTGATTTTGGTGAATTGATGAAACCCTAAGTGCTAACCTAGTTTATCAAAGTGATTATGAGATAGGTAGCACTACTCCAAGTGGTGAAGCAATTGTAATCATGACATGATGATGGTGATGGCATGGTGATGATCAAATGCTTGAACTTGGAAAAAGGAGAAAGAAAAACAAAAAGCTCGAGGCAAAGGTGAAACTTGATAGGAGCTTTTCGTTCTAGTGATCGAGACACTTAGTGAGTGTGATCACTGTCACACCCAGTTCTAAAGATGTCACACCCCAAAAATTCCATTTTGGGTTGTGAATAGTTTTCACTAAATAAAATTAATGCTTTTATCATTTTCTAAAGTTTTCAAGATTTAATTAGGGTTTTTGCAATTTATAATATGAAAAATGTTGATTTTTAAATAACTTTTGTAATATAATGTGAAGGGTGTTGCATTCATGCCGGTTGCATTTGGTGTTTATGAGTGCAAATAGTTTTGAAATATGATAGAGCAACGTTTCTTTCTCTCCGGGAATTTTTCTGACCTTTTCTGGAATTAAATTTCTTTTTCCTTGGGCTTAATATTTTTCCTTGATCTTTGCAACAATCTTTTCGTGAGCTCAAACAACTTTAGTTGAGTTCCTCATCCTTCAATCTATCTCCAGGATTTTCCTGAGCTCCGGGCTATTTTTTGGTTTAAAAACCAAATCTGGATTTTCTGGAATTATTTTAATTCGTGAAATTAAAATAATCCCAAAACCCTAATTTTTCCACCGACCCAAATCCTGCCTATAAATACTTGCCGGTGTTCCTCTTGACACAAGGGTTCTAGAAGTACATCCCGTTCCCACAGCCGCCACCCGTAGCCTCCTAGATCGGACGCCGAAGTTCGGAAGATGCTACGTTTCCGGCGAACTTCCGGCGAGCTTTTCCAGCCAAACAGTCGCGTTCCGGCGACAACCACCACCACCCAGAGGTAGATCTGTTCGTTGTCTATACCGTGGTATATCATATTGCACGAATCCATCACCGTTTGACAGTTTTACCATCTATTCTTCCTTCTCCGGCGAGATCCTCCATGGCCGCTGCTACTGCTGCGTGTTCCCTGGCCGCCCCGGCCGCCGTTGGCCAGCCGTGCCTCCTTCCCTCCCTTTTCATCTTCTCTGTTGGCTGCGCGTGAACAGTAACCCGTGACTACTGTATCGCGGTTCAAGCAGAGGTGGAAGAAGGACCTACATGCAAATGAAGTTTTCTCGTTTCGCAGATAAGTCCCTGATTCATTCATTTTCCATCCTTTTTCATCCGTTATTCCTTCAAATCTAATCTGAATTCCGTTGTTTCAGTTTCATCTCTCCAATATGTATTTCTATCGTTGTTTAATCCCACCAATACTAATTATTTTATTTATTTAAGTGCTTTTCAAGTGAAATACCTGGAATGCCTTCCCTTGTTTAAATCGTCCGGAGTCCGTATCTTTTCCGTCTGATCTCCGTTTTCAGCGGTTTTTGCGCTCACGCGATCGTAGAAACAAGACCTACGCGTAAGTAACATTTTATTAAGTTGTTTATCATGTTTGGTGTACTGCTTTTATTTATTTATATATGTTTGCTTGTATGTCTATGTGCCCGAAGTTTGCCGCGATGGAAGAGAAGTCATCAGTGGATCCCGAAGACCAAGAGTTGAGTTGTTATGTGTTTCTAAGCCTAAGGCAAGTGTCCTTGACCATCTTGCTCCTACATTTGTTTTACTTTGAGTTAATGTAGTTAGACCATTAGTTGCATGCTGAGTCATAATTTGAATTCAATGTTAGGGTTTACTAGAACTT